ACTTGATAGGGGCATTCCATATTTTCCGCGGCATCTGAAGATTCCTTTGACTTCACGACCATGAGTCACCTGCGCGGTCATCCGTACAGGGTCAAACGGGAGTGTACACGCCTAGACCATCGTATGTTTTCATTTAGTCAGCGTGTGGTTCGAACGTTAAACTCGCTCCCATCTGACACAATCGTCGCATTCAAAAGGCACTGGGGTCGTTTGATCTTTTATAAACGACGACACTCACTGCAGCAGCCAGCCATGAACTTTCTTTCCTGATTTCACTCTCTATGTAACGCACCGCAAACCAAACAAATGACTGCATTGTGTGCCGATTGCACTTAATATCCCAAATACACATGGAAAGGACCGTCCGCCGGAAAATTTGCAGTTCCACACTGTAGAACGTTTTTCCGTTAGAGGAGATTGCATAAAACCCTAAATATATTATACTAGAGAGTAAATCTACGAATAAAATAAGGTCTGCGTCAGTTTGTTGCGCTATCTGTCAATCCGCGGACTCATGCCGTGCAAGTATGCAAATCCAAATGAGACTTTGCCGACTGCTTATGTGGGTTGTGAGACAGAACACTAGTGTATGACAGCCTTTTCATATTCCACTCTGCTTGCAGAACATATCCGCGAGCTCTACTTAGAAGTGTGGTTCGGAGCGCTTGTCGAAGATCGTGACCGCTGATATCCACAGTGTGCTCCACAGCAAGTTGAAGACGGGCACACTGAATTCTGTGTGATTTCATCCATAGTGACAGCAGACTTGTCGCCTGCATTTAGGCAGATTCCTCTGCGTAAAGGCAAATACGAATGGGACTAACCGACGACGGCCCCAAATAGGGCCCACTTGAGCAAAGTCAGGTATGGATATTAAACCCAATATATCCCCAACCCAGCCCTTCGTCTGCACCTAAGAATTCACCGCACGGTTTCCCAAACGCTGTCAAATAGGTATGCCAGTGACTAGGCTCCTTGTCGAACTCAAGCATATCTTCAAGTTACACTCAAGTCAGTCAGTCGATCCCTGCTCCTACCACCAACTTTAGAGCGCCCACACTCAGATTGCATAGTTGCCTGTCCTGTGCGCTATTGCTACTGATTATTTCCACCACAAGTAAAGGTCTAAATTAAAGTTGAATGCAAAACAGAACCAGCTCCATTTGAAAAGTATTCTAGAGCAACGAGCTTACAAATGCAACCCTACGAGAGGCCAGAGAAGGTCTCCATAAAGGCCATGCAAATGTAAGCCTATGATATCTGAAAAACTTACTGCACGAAATGTTCGATGGAGCATTTGGAAACGTCAGTAGTCCTGTAGAGTTGACTGCAACAAACTAGGGATAAAGTACTCAGCATGAGCGACATCGCAAAACGGCTCTCAATAGACTTGCATCTTGACCTAGCACCTAACACTTTGCCCGACAATGGTCAGATTACAATTTCACGAGAGCGCATCCCTCTTCTGAAGTACTGAGACACAAGGCGTGCACTGCAATCAAGCAGAATGTGGCTTCTGCCTGTGCATAGTGCATTCAGGCAAACACTGTTGTTAGCGTGTCGTCGTGCATGAATTCACTGCTTTTCAGCGTAGCAAAATGGAGAGATCTGGGTTGTTGATTTGAAGAAAACGATGGCCTCAGCGGAACGGGTTTATTTAGCTGCTGATGATTCGATGAGTTTTCTCGGCTCCCCATTATCACAGTGTAAAATCGACCAGACATTTCAAATGGCATGTCGCCTTGATGGGCCTCATGCTGATCGATTTTCCTTTTTTCTCGCCACCTCAACCTGTCGCGGGATGAATGACGGACGCTTTTACCTGTGTGTTTTGTGAGTCCCCGCTTCGTCGGGGGAAGTGATTGAACCTTCATCGGGCGGTCGGTCTGGTGGCTCTTCTTCTTCCGCGCCAAGTAGACTCAGCGTCGGCTTGTCTATCTATGACCTTCTTAATTCCAGTGTGGTTTCTTGGTCCTGAGGTCTACGGAGGGGATGATGTAGGACTTTGTAGACTGTTGGAATGCCCAGATGCCCGTTGATGGAGTTGTCATTAGAGTACCAAGCCCAGAGTATTAGCCGTTCTGCCTTTGGATGGTCCTGCCTAAGATATTAACTATCTGGAGATCGAAAGTATGCCAAGATTTCAGCGATTTCAGCGGGCGCCGGTGTGCACTTAGGCTGCATCAGACGGCGCCGTGCCTGAGATCTATGGGGTATGCCAAATATGGAGGGCCGAACGACTGTAAATTTGAAACCTCTTTGCAGCCGATGGTTATCGCAGACATTTTGTCGAGAGAAGCAGGCGCTGAACTCACAGACAAGGGCCAAATGGTCAGCAATCCGAAGTCTGGGGGCTCAAAGGCCGTCTCTCGACTGTTACAAACCGCCATCATCAGTGGCTCCACCACTGCCACCATCTCCGAAACCGACACTGACACCGCCGATTTTTCCTGTCCACGCTCACTCGTACACTCTCCTAATATATCGGTCAGGTCGGTCAATCGCGAATTCATCGCGCAGCGACAGGCCAACCAGTGTCTGGAGCACCCACATGCACCCACCGCATCCGCCTCAACTGCCCTCATTGCACCCGCACATTCACTCACCGCATGGGCCTATTAGGCCACATACGCATTTAGTGTAACCTACAGTAAACCGAAATTCTGAAAGGCGTTTTCGACTTGAAAGAATAATTTAAGGTGAATAATTTCAGAAATTAATCAATGCAGAACTTGGAGTTAAATCGCCGGGACATGACTTTTTAGGGTCAGAAGCGAAATTTCAATGAACATTTGAGTCGAAGACAATCAACTACTGTGGGAGTACGGTATAATACCTTTACCAGAATAATTTAATTTGGGCTGTAATATTAATCAATGTGCAGCATAATCCGAAGATATTTCACTTACTTCAAGATGCCATTTTTGATGAACTTTTTTCCGACCGCCTGCGGAAACAGCACTCTGTAAAAATGACTACTTACTTAGTATGGATTTTTCTCATTCATTGCCGATGACCGTACAAAATCAAATATGTTTCATAAAAAACATTCACGCAAATATCCAGTCTTTTACACATTTGAAAGAAAATGACGTCTTCCCAAATTGTTTACTTGACGGAAGGGCAGAATTAGATATTAAAAAGCTTACCGATTCCCGAGTAATTCCAGACCCGACATGTCATCGCCCTGGCATTCAAGGTTTCCAAACCATAAGATGTATATTTATCGTGTACGTAAATACATACATTCCTATGAGTTATTAAGAGGAAGCCGTATGTTGTTCAAATCATCAATGAGTCTGAACCATATGGCAAACCTTACAAACTACATTAGTAAATGCAGAGACACGATGATTTGAGAAAGGATACTTCGGTCTCTGCAAGTTCTGGAATCGCAGACATTTTAAAACCGAATTATGCTATTTCGTCAAGAATTAATTTTGAGGAAAACGTCATTACCTTTCAAATGTGTAAAAGACTAAATATTTGTAAGCATGTTTTCTATGAAATATGTTTGAGATTAAAAGGCCATCGACAATCAGTGAGGAAGGTTCATAGTATACAGTAGATGTGCTTAATCATGAAATGTCAACCGAAATTTCGAAATGCGTTCTCGTTTCGAAAAGGAAAATTAAGTAGTGTTGTAAAACTAATCATAATGCAGCATAAATCTATAATGATCCAGTTACCTCAGGGTGTCGGCTTTCGAAAGAACTTCTTTTCGGCTGCATGCAAAATCTTTACTCTGCAAACAATGACTACTTAATTAGCATGCAATTTTCTCATTGATTTTCGATGCCTTGAAAATTCAATTATATTTCATGGAAAAACATGCATAAAGATATTCATTCTTTTACCTATTCGGTAGAAAATCACGTCTTCTCCCAATTTCATACTCAAAAGAAGAGTATAATTCGGTTTTAAAAAACATTTTAAATTCCCGAATAATTTTGAACTTGACCTGCTGTTATACTTGCATTCGGGGTTACATAACTACAAGGTGTATATTTTCCATGTACGGAAAACCATGCATTTCTCTAAGGTGTTAATGAGAGACCATATAACGTTCACAAAATTAAGCAGTGGATTTGAGAAATATCGTTAACTTTACAAGCCACGTTCGTAAATGCAGATACATGACTTCTCATGAACGGCCATTAAACGGTTTTAAAAAATCTCACAATTAGAAACTTTTTTAAAAGCGAATTATAATCTTCTTTTGAGTATGAAATTGGAAAAAGATGGGCTTTTCTACCGAATACGTAAAAGAATGAATATCTTTTTGCATATTTTCCACGAAATATAATTGAATTTTCCAGGGCATCGAAAATAAATGAGAAAATTGCATGCTCATTAAGTAGTCATTTTTTGCAGAGTAAAGATCTTGAATGCAGCCGAAAACAAGTTCGCTCGAAAGCCCACACCCTGAGGTAACTGGATCATTACAGATTTATGCTGCATAATGATTAGTTTTTCAACATTACTTTATTTATCTTTTCGAAACGTGAACGCATTTCGAAATTTTGATTGACATTTCGTGAGTTAGCACACCTACTGTATATATAGTCACCTTTTTCAGTATTTTCGTTTTTCAGGCGGCTGGACGAAAAATCTGTCGAAAACTGGCATCCTGCAGTAACTGAAACATTATATGATTATGCCGCACAGTGATAACTATTACAACCCCACTTAAGTAATATTTTCGAGTCGAAAACGCTCTTCGAATTTCATATTTACGCACGTATATGTGAAACCCCACTATCGCAGGCCGGCGAATGTGCCACGGGCGTAAGTAGTTCTTGCCACGCGTGTCAGGTCGTCCGAAGATGACATGCGTAAGCGGCCACGCTGGGGAGCATGAGTGCGGGCAGCTTCGGCTTCACTGCTTGGGCTTTACTGTGGATAAATCTGAATTCCTGCAGAATAAAGCGCATCTAAATGCCCTTTAGGGATTGTTGACCGTCCTAGGATCAGGTAGAATATTGCGAACAGTTCGTATTTGCACAGGACGCCAGTGTTACTTACTGGAGTTTATTTACTTACCTCAGCTACCATGGACTGAACGATTACTTTATCTGGAAAGTGTCATAGGACTATCCACTTAGTTTCCTGACATAAACGACCACTGTGCAATAGGGCGTAGGAGAACAATTAATTTAATGGTAATATGTAACTACACTCAAAAACATCTTCATAAACGTTCGGAATTAACTCTGTAATGCCACAGAAACTAATTTAACAAGCGTTGGCTTCCAAGCTTACGCAAACTTGATAGCGCGTCTTCGGCACTAGACACACAAAAGACGGTTTTACTAATGCATGCTGTGGACGTTCTTGTCGCGCCCCCAGTCGGATCGGCCCAAACGCGTGGACCTGTAAATGGCAAAGTGTGATCCACTGATTCTGCATTTAAATAATGTCAGTTATACAATTTCTTTAGGAAATATCAAAGGATATTAGTAAAAAAGAACACTCTTTGTCCTGAGACAGAATTCCTGCATACCCGGTTGTCATCTATCTGAATTACTGGGGTTTTCTTGTCATGAAAATGCGCCAGTGCATTAACAGAATGTTCATCTAAACTGTATCCCAGCAACGCAGCAAGCAGTCAAATTCTTCACGCAGGCGATTCAGGCAGCCTTAAGCGACGCTGGTTCAGGTCACCGAATATTCATAGAGAACTGTAGTGTAGACAACACCTGCAATTACAGAATAGTAATATCTACTGGAAAAACTTGACTATAAGAGGAGACACTGAGTCTCACACAAATCGCTACAGGCGGAAAACATGTAAAACACAACGGTAGTGGTAAATTCTTGTACAGATTCCCGCGGCGTACAGCCCTCTCCAGTATCACGTTGTTGAAGCATGAACAATGCTCTGCATAAACTTCAGCAAGTTGCTGACTGAAGTTGGTTAATAGAGTTTGGTGTTCAGATTAATTCACGTCCGGCGTGATGAGATCGAGGAACAAAAACTAACTGTCGCATCTGACTAAAACGGATTGAGGCACATGAGCGAAATCAATGATGCAATAAGACCAGGTAGCATTCAGACACAAAACTTGCTATATCGCGAGACGAAACCGGTGACTGTGGCATTTTGGAACACTTAAATAAAGGTACGGCAAAGTTTAGGTGAACAGATGAATGTGAGGAGGACAATTATGAATGCACCTTGACCAACGACTTAAACCTCAGACGCTCGAGGTCTCAGAGTCGCTGCATATAAGGCAAACTGGATAAAATTGACCAAGTTTTACGATGGTCGCCTGCATTGGATTTCTCACTTTGCTATTCAGCTGCATATATTCGTAAGTACACACGTTCTTCACATTCAGTTTTCTGGTATTCGGACAATATTGTATATGTCGATTTGCATTGTTTTAATAAGAAATGACCTGAGTGGTTTTAGAAGGATAATTACTTTCTAAATATACTTTAGCTGTCGAAAATACGGAACACAGTCTTATGCTAGGCTCTGTTGATTTAAACTGAGAAGCAAATTTTTTTTGCCTGCAAACGTAAACTGTGTTCTCCTCTACTGCAGGCAAGACCAAACTCTCTGCCAGTGGAATAATCGCCCGCTAACAAACGAAAGTGGGCCGTATGAACATAAAGCAGTTATATACGGAGATTACCGGGTAAGAATTGTCAGCATGTACAGGTCGTGAGTACTTCGAATTTTCCAATGATTAATTTCAATCGCCATCAGAAAATTTGACTGACACTTGGGTTTTCTTCAGTTGTTATTGGTGCGCTACCCGCAAGCTGCAGATATAAAAAAACATAAAATTTATGGTAGAACAATTGCAATCAGTGAGTGAATTTTAAGGATATCGTAAAAATCACTCCTTCTTGATGCATGAAGTGTTCATTTCATTGCCAATATTTGTTTCATACTTTACTTCAGGGCGGACGGATAGGAGAAAACGAGTTTCATAATGTTCGAGGAATGCCGGGATTCTGCAAAATGAAATCCAAGCTATTTCGCTGTAAACACATAAATTGTTTGTTTATTTATTTCATAGTAGTCTCACTGCTAATAAATGCATAAAGCAATGTAGATATTTATTTTGTGATGAATTAATAAACGATTTATAGGTTGGTTGTTGGCACGATTATATTTTGTTTTTATTTGCCTACAGATAAATAAAGAAGTTCAACCTCTTGGCTATTATAAAAGTATTGGTCAGTATCATGAACTTTCAGCCATAATTCAGAAATGCGTCCTATATTAGGAAGACGGATTCAAGTGCACTTTTAATGCGAAGATCCGTGCGGCTAAATTTCAAAATATCTTAATTATCTTATGATTTCGGCTTTCGAATGAGCTGTTTTCCGGCTGCTCGTAAAACAAGCCGTTGGTAGAATCATAACGACGTAGGTTTTTGAAATTTTTTGCTGACTTTAAATGTGTCACACATTTAAATTTGTTTCATAGAAAGTACCTAACAAAATGTTATTATTGGCATTCATTTGTTTGGCTTATCATGTATTTCGCAACAGCCTTACTCAAACAGTGGGCCTGTGGAGGCTGCAAAAATCTTTTTGAATTTCCGAGTAAAAGGGAACCCGAATTGTGTTTCATTTGCATTAATATATCTCAAATAATTTAGCAA